TATATCTTCAATAAATTACTTAAGACAAATTGATCTTTAGCAAATGTAAATAGCAGATGAGTGTTGCATGTCATAGATAAATAGAAAACAATTATCGTAAGTATTTATTAAATATTTTATTCAAACCATCTATATTTTTGTTCTATTGAAAAATAGACAACCAAAATAACCCTGATTCTTTCTTATCACATGTTCTTTAATAATCGTGTCACATTCTCATTCCATAGTCCTATTAAGAATAACCTTATTGTCGAACTCGAACGTTGAGCCCAAATTCATGCATTCTAGGCACGTTTATATTCATGAATATAGGTACTTTAACATGTCATCTCAGAAATATTCTCTTATCAATTAGTTTGGAGTTTATAAAGGTTGGCGTTCAGAAATGTGCTGAAGTTCTTTGCATGAGCTGCATCAGATATCATACTTGTAATCTAATCAACATGTCTCGTTTAAGAGGACTAACTGTGTTTTAAGTATAAAGCGTTTGATGACCTGAGAATGTTCTCTCATTAGTGCTACAACAAGATTAGTTTCGATACACATAACAGAAACATTTTGTTCCTCTGCTTAGGTCCGATTTTAAGACTTTTAAAATGCGAACAAAAGCGCTATACTTCACCACAAGTCAGTTGTGTAGAATCTTATAGATACAAGTATAGTCAACTCTCAGATCAGTTTCACAAAAACCGTCTGCATACTAAGTGCTCTTTTTTACATTCTTCTTTCATTTTTACACAAATGCGACGCGATCATCTACACTCATAGAGCCGAAGTGAATGATAATCATTCGAGTTTTCTATTGTTTTATGTATATTTCGTGCAAGTTTTCTATCAAGAATGAAACTATGCATTACTTCGATATATCTTCAATAAATCACTTAAGACAAATTAATCTTTAGCAAATGTAAATATCGGATGAGTGTTGTATGTTCTTGATAGAAAACAACAAAACATTGGAGAAGAGTGGCAATGGCACGAAGAAGCGAACAAAGAGCACAAGGTTCATCTTCGGCGCAGTCGGACTTCAGACACCATCTCATCATCTTCGAGCTACACCTCGACAATTCGTACAACAACATCGAGTATCTCATCGCCAGGAACAATCATTACGAGCCATCTTAAACAGTATAAAACAGTGTCAGTTGGCAAATCGTTGGTCTCAGTTCTCGAAGTTTGTGCGTGGACCGACGATGTTTTTTGAAAAACAGGTTTTAGAAAAGATTTACAAATACAAACTCGTTTTAGGATATGTTGATTAGACAATTTTATCTTCCATTTCCTGTTTTTATGATTTTGGGGTGATTTTTCTTATCAGTTCTAGATTCAGCATGCTGTACAAATGGCTTGCAATCGTCTCATATGTACACAGAAGGAAAAAGAGATCAGAAATTACCCTTAATTACGTCTGCTTTACAATCTAAAGTAAAATTAACTAGAATGTACTTCACTGTGATTTTATGTTCAGCTGAAGTACACAGGTTATACTTCAGGCTAGGGGTGGCACTTTCCCGTTCCTTTCCTAAGTAACGATAAAGTGGTATCTTTTATTTCAAAAGTAAAGAGCAAAGATATAATGCATATCTTTTCTTTCCTAAGAAAAAGGAAAGCGGCACCTTTTCTTTTCCAATAGAAAGAAAAGCGATGTCGTTTCTTTTTGCAAGAAAAAGACTTTTTTTGCACCTTTTAAGAAAGTCTTCTTCTTGCAAAACGAAAAGATATCGCTTTTCTTTCTATTGGAAAAGAAATGGCGCCGCTTTCCTTTTTCTTAGGAAAGAAAAGATATGCATTATATCTTTACTCTTTTTTGTTGTAAAGAAAAAGTAAAAGTTTTCGTTTGTTAATAAAAAAAAGGAGATGGGAACGAGGAAGTGCCACCCCTAATCAGTAAGGTAAAAGCTTTGCAAAGATCAAGTGAATTTTATTTTCCAATGTGTCGTACACCATTCGATAGAGAATTCAACAGAGATCACGAATATCACCACTCCGACTCCCAAAACCGTGTTGTCGCCGAGATATCCTCAAAATAACGAGAGGGAGTCAAAAACCCAATAAATGCCCGTTTTTTGAAAAAGCTACGTAGTTTGACCCGCTAAGGTCATAGAGCTTTGCAACTAGGATATTCAGATTCAGCGTTGAAAACTGAATCTAGCCATGTACTTTTCGAAGCTCTAGCTCTAAAACTGGGTGTTTGATAACGCAGTTAAAGTACAGGCCAAAATCGAGACCCCTTCTTCTCGCGTTCATGTTTATAGTATCCATTGATTTTAACGTTAACCACTCTACTTTATACATCATGCGATAGAGAATTTCACAGGCTTCAAAATGAGCTATGAATAAGTCTTTCAAAAATATATCCACATTGATCAATAGTTGAAATACTTGGGCGATATAGTGATTTTCACCTATCTTTGTACTTTGAACACTCCGTTAGTCGTTTTTCTTTATGCCGCACGCTTTATTCTTGCCGCGATCAGACCGCGGTCGCGAAGTTTGCGCGTTCCGCGAAAAATTGGCGATCGCACAGCGAAAATTTTTCCGCGTCGCGTTCGACCTCCAAGTCACGTCGCGTTTGCGGTTCAGATTATGTCGCGATCGCGATTAAAAACAAATCGCATCATGTTTGCGATTTATATTAGATTGTATCGCGCTCGCGATTCAGATCAGATCGTATCGTGTTCGCGATTCAGATAAAATATTTATATGGGTTCATATGAAGTTTCTTCGCTTGAAGAAAAATCTTATAAAAGTGTGGTAAGATACATTACATAGCAGGAGCACATGCATCTCTAAAAATCCTTTCTTTCTGACTTAAAGAAATCTAACATTTTTAAAAGTAAAAGAATTTATATAGTACACATAGACTTGTATGGCAGCCACGATGACATTACAAAGCTTTTCTTCTCATTTTAAATGAGACGAAAAGCAGTATTTATTACATCAGACACTTATTTCTTCTACTTAGGTCATATCTGCTCTTTTGAGTTTCTCAAAGCAGAATTAAATCTAAGAACAAAATTAACTAACTAATTTGCAAAGTAAGTACACAGCAGTTCTGGTGAGTGAGAGAATATAAATTTTGTTTCTTCAGGCATTTTGTGTAGATTAAAAAAGTCTTCTTTCTCAAAAAATGCACTATATCCAAGGGCTTTTTCTATGTTCTTTCTCTCAATCGATGTTTACTGTGCAAATATCTCAAAATAAAAATGCACAGAAGTGAGAAATGCATCAAAGGTTGCTGCTTTTATAACAATTGTGAATATCCTCGGTGTAAGATCGCTTTGTTGTTAGTGGCTCTCAGGATGTAGCGACGATCAGTTCGGTTCTGTTTGATGCACAGAGGATTGGGGCTCAGCCATTCCGCCTCATTCACAGAATATTAGATTGACTCTAATAACGAACTGATCTTAGCAATAATATCTACGGGTATACATTCTCTGAAAGTTCAAGCGTGAATGTTTTCTTCACATACGGCAAACGTTACCTTATCGGTAATATTCACCAGCGAACCATAAAACGGCAACCGTTCTCGCTTTTATTTTGAGATTAAATACCAGTTATACGTCGAATTGTAATTGAGAAATACATGAGAGAACTTAGAGAGGTCTAAGACTGAAGCTGCTTTAGAAATAACAATCAAAATTTTTCTAAAGTAACACCGTTATCATAATTTCTATGATGGGTTAAGAAGAATTATACAAAGCGAGAGAGTGTTTATAAATAAAACTGCTGTGTACTTATTTTAAGCTCAACCTCAAAGAGAGTCTGAGGTGAATGATTCATCTTGATTGCATTATGTTCCTGACGAGAAAACCGGGTAAAACATGGTGAAATCAGTAGATTTCGAGAACCTTTTAAAGCTGCTAACGGTGCTCACAATTACAGATCCATCGTCCTGAAATGGTCTGCTGCCAAGACCTTGCCGCGATATAAGCAGTTTGAACACGTTCCTGTCGCGAAACAGTCAATAATGATCATGCGGCGAAACAAGCAAATTTAGGCACCATCTTGTCACGAACTCCGACTTTTCGAGTGTCGGCGACGAACTTCGACAAATTTTTTCTTGAAAAGGTCGATGATTTTTCAATGTGAAAATTTGGAAAAATTTAAAGTACTCGGTTAGGATAGAGATACACAGCAGTCGATTCGATTTTTGATCCTGATTCCGAATATAATATTTTATTTACATAGAAGTGGAGTTCTGTTGGAGAACATTGAGAGATACGAGCAGAATTCCGACTTTTCCCTCTAATTTGGAAAAAATCCATAGAAACACACCAGGATCGCATAATACGGGGACATTGTCAAACTCCTACGTTTGTTTAGTTTTCTATTTCCTATCCAGCCATGTTCGAGCCAAGTCTTTACCTGTTACCAGAGCTGAGCTATGTTCATTTTAAAAAAGTTGATTTTTTTAAATTTTAAATTAAAATCCAAAATAGAAATTGTGAGCTGGAGACTTGTTTTTTTTCAAAATGTTCGCCTTTCGACATTGAATCCAAATATGTTATTTAAAACGTTCCATCTCTCAACGCTGGTTTTTAAAAACCTTTTAATTCCACTACTATAGCTCAAAAACCACGGTTTTTCTGGAACTCCTACTTCTGAGGATTTTGAGGTAAACTTTCTAGAGACGAAAAGAACGAGAACCTCATGAACCCTCTAAACACTGTGTTTCATTGGGTTTGGTCAGTTAGTTTTGGAGCTGGAATAGACCAACTTTCCTGTATAACATGCCTATTAAGTAGGTGAAATTCTTTCTGAATCCTGAATAGTTAATTTCGAAATGAAGATTACGGTAAGGACTGAAATTAGGTTGAGACTTTAAAACGAAGGTCAAACTGTAAAACGAATTCTGCCCTTTCTCTTTCTGAAGAAAATGACTTTCAGCACATTTAGTATATAAATCACCTAGAAATTCATAAGTCATGAGAAAGTAGAGTTGAGACTGTCATGGTAAACGACTGGTCAGACGCAACTAAGATAAGATTTATTTTAGTTCAAAGATTACTCCTGCTTGAAGAACTCTTAGAGCAAGTGTCTTCCATCTTATCTAATATCGGATTGATAGCATCAATAATTGTTTGTAATCGAGGATCAACTGGAGCAAAGCCCATGTTAAGTTCATTTAAAACATAACCAATTGTGAGTTGTTTAGCTGGATAGGCAAATGCTAAACTGCCACCCACGCCTAATAGAACAAAAAAGAGCGAGCTTTCGTAATTCTAAGATACCAAATCCTCTCTTACCACTGTGACCAAATATGCCTTGTCCGAATATCGGCAGCAGTACTCCATGTATCATGAAGCCCATGCCAAATGTTGACGGAATACCGAATAAAATGCGATCGGGTTCACCCTCAGGTGTCGTACATCTTGTTGCTTGTTGGAGCGTATTTTCATTCAACAAACGCGCATGCCCATCAACATCACCAATGAATGATGCATAGATTCTTGCTAATGATCGCGCATTTGTTATCCCGTTAGCAGCTGGTAATTCTGCACGATGAATCGATACACTATTAAACGTATTCGGCTTGCTTAGGTCTATTGCTGATAGGGTGCCATTGAGTGAAAATGTTTGCTCTGCTAAAGCTGTGAATGGTGGCATGTTTTCAATTTGTATTTTTCGTTCCAATGGTGATACACGATGATCCTTGTCTTCGGGTAAACCAATATAAAATTCGCTATTCATCGGCTCAGCAATTTCATTCAAAATAAATTCTCCAACCGAGCGTTTTTTTGGGTCAACTCGACGAATGAGTTCACCAGCTAACCATCCGAATGTTACTGCATGATACCCGTGTGCTGTACCCGGTTGCCAAAAGGGTTTTTGCTTAGCTAATAGATCTGTCATACTCTTCCAGTTAAGAACATCGTCCAGCACGCACTGGTCAACTGTTGGTAAACCGGCCCGATGTGACAGTAGATCAGAAACAGTGATTGTCTCCTTTCCATTCTGTCCGAATTCAGGCCAATATTTTGTCACGAGTTCATTGTAATCAAGCCACCCACGTTGTACACAGAGTGCAACAGCTGCAGCTACTATGCCCTTTGTTGTTGAAAAAGCGAGTTGAAGAGTGTCATGTGTGTAGGGCTTTGTATGTTCTTGATCAATCCAGCCACCACTGAGATCAATAACACATTTACCTTGATGATAAATACAAAGGGATGCACCGAGTTCTGAACCATCGCGGAAATTTTGTTCGAATAAATCGCGAATAATTTCCCAGTTAGGTTCGACAAGTCCTTCAACATTAAATTCAGACATTTTGAAATACAGCGTGTTCTTCTTGCAAATATGATGTAGGATTGTATTCACTCTTTTCACTTTTCATCACAGGTGAAAAGAACGTACTTTTCGTTTTATTTTTATCATTGATAGGTCATTGAGGAATTTGTTTTTTTTCTATTTCTGCGTTATACAGGACAGAGAAATTATAGAACTGCGAGAAATAGCGATTTTTTTTCTTTCCTTTTTTCTTTTCTATTTTGTTTTAGCTTTCATTGTCTTTTTTCTTTCTCTGTCATTCGATCACACGTCGGCAAGTAAACTATGAAACGAAGTATATTATGGCGTGAACTTCACAAGAAATTCACATATAGTCTTCAGAAGTATCAAACATAGTTGATGACCCACGTTTTAACGTGAGCACACGTTATTGTGCGTTATAAGAAACAATATAGAATAAGAAAACAATATAGAAAAAAAAATCCAAGGGGGAAAGCGGAATGGGCTGACATGGCCCATTCCAAAACATTTTTACAAGTTTTTCCATTCTCCGTTTTTGACAGACGTAAATACTATCGAGTGTGTACACGGTGAAAAAAACCGTAAAATCCATAACCACCGAAAAAAACGGTGTAGAAGAACCATGAAGTAAAAAACTACATTATGAAAACCGTAAACTGCAAAAGTATAAAAGAAAAACTATGGAAGTAAAATCGTCAAGGTTAAAACCATAGAAAAAAAACTGTCCACTTTCGAACCGTCGAAGAAAAACCGTAAAACAAAACCGTCAGTTTCAGAACTGTGCAATTAAAACCACGAAAAAATATCGTAAAGGTCAAAACTGTAGAAATAAAATCATGAACTGACAGTTTGTCAAAGGAAAACAATGAAAACAAAAACGTGAAGAGGAAAACCGTGAAAGCACTTTCATGCTTTTTAGTTGACGGTTTTATCGAAGCTTCAAAATTCATTAAAATATATGCCGTTTCAGTCGTTAGCACGTCAGAAAGTCTTCCTAATCAACTAACATAAGTTTAATAGAGTGAGCCTTGAGCTTCTCGACAAATCTATCTCACGCTCAGGATTATTCAGTGAAGAGCATAGCCGGGTAGATAAGTGAGTAAAACTGACACTTGAGACAGGGAGGAGGGGAACACGTCTTCCAGCGCATGTTTCTAAAAAATATGCCTGTTTTGTGAACTTTCTCGTTTTACAAATTCTTTCGTTGAAACTGGGATTATCTTGAAATTGTTCTGATGCCTGTAGTCTTAGAAGGTAGAGAGAAAGGGTATAGTGAATATCTTCTCCTAAGTTTCTAGACATCCGTCAGAGAATACACTCGATGGTATCGTATGATATATGTGCACACCTATACAGTTAGTGTTTCTCTTTTATGTCTCAAATACATGTACGATAGCGAGGAGCTTTACAAATTCAACAGCGACAGCTTTTCGTAAGATGCTGAAGTTTTTACAAAAGTCTACCCGAGAACACGATGAGTATGCTGTGCGAAGGCATACTTCTGTAAGTTCCTCAGTTCAGTGGTTTGTGTCTTGGTCTCATAATTCATACTCGCCAAACGTCTCAGGTAGGATTCCTGGAGGAGCTGTTCTTTTTTTGTTTTCTTTCAAAGTGGACGGTTTTACTTGCACAGTTTTACCTGGACGACTTTTCTAATAGTTTTAAAACTGTCAAAGCAAAACTGTCATATAGGAACCATAGGAAACAAAAGCTTGAACAACTAAAACCGTGCCAAACTGACTGCGAGAAACCGTGTATAAAAATCGTCATGAGTTTCACAGTTTTTTTTCTCTGTGTATTTTGAGAAACAGTATATTTGCGTATATAATTTATCCGTGCAAGAGTAACTGCTTCGATGAGCGTCTCTCCAATACAAGAAAAATTGGGATACAGCATACTGAAATGAAGATTTGAGGCTGAATCTCAGAACCTGCAGGTTTTCAGACATGCGGATTCCAATGGTGATATCAATCTGCTTTTGTTTTTACTTTCATAACGGACTTCGAGAAAACTGGGCTTTTGAGCAGAGGGCTTTCGAAAATATTGCAATTAAAAAGATTTGCTGTTCCATTTAATCTTTTAAACAAGCTCACTCGACAGAGTTCACTTTTAGCTATTTAAACACAGTTTTATTTTGGAAAAGCTCAAAAACCTGAAGGTTTTCCAAGGGTTTTTGACTGAAAATCGGCGGCTCTTAGTAGATCTATGGTGACCAAACACAAAGTTCTAATAATTTTATCATTTCATTATTTGATAGTAGACAGCATGCACTTAAACGTATATGGGTGTGAGTTTCTGACCCTGACTCAGGTGGTTTTTCAGCCGTGCTTAAGAAAACTATTAATCCAAAAGATAGTAAACAATATAACTATTTAGATTTAACACTTAGAAGGACTAGCTCGATTACTTTACTACAAAGTGTCACAGACTCGGTGGTACTCATTTATTTTAATATCCACTGAAAAAGAATTTACGAATCTGAAAAAATCCTGTGAATGTTGGATATATACTGCAGGTTTCTACATCATGCTACCTCACCGAAAATTTTCCTGCAAGTTGGTGAGTATAATTGAGCAGGATTCTTTAACACGCTCACTTTTCAAGTTTCTTTCCTGCACGATCCTGGAGAATTCATCTGTAAGCACACCATGCAGGAGCTTTTACATGCGTTTCATCGGATATATCTCGCAGATTCTTTGCTTTGCATATCTTGCGGAATTTTTTCCTATCTGCTATCACTTGTAATACACAAGACATCTCACTACGCTAACCCTGCAAAAAAGTAATAGTTTGTAGATTTTGTCCCCTACGTATATGTCTTTTCTCACCAATGTCTACCCCGGGTGACCGTGGAGGAACTCGTCTGTACTTTTTATTTTTGGAAAGTTAAGTACTCTTGCATCTTTTCTTGTAAAATTATAAAAGCTTTGCTCCTTGTCGAATAAACTTCCGAAAAATGTATACCTTATATTTTTAACTATAACTTATCAATGTTTTTACAGAAGTTTTTAAGTTATATAACATTCAATGAAGTATTCGAAGTTGAAGAAATTAGTATAGTTTGATATCTTTGTTTCGCTATACATCTTTTTTTCACAGTAGTGAGATTCCATAGGTGATGTTTGTTTGAGTTTTTCAATACCAATGGTGACTTCCTTAGATAGAGCTCGTTTCGTATGTTCATTAATATTAATCATGAGTCATAAAATGAGTGTCACGACGGTACTGACTACAATAAATGGTTTCTACTAATTATTAGAAAAATATTTCGAATTTCAGTGTCAAAATAAATTTTCATTCCGTGGATCTAATGCGTTAGTGGGAAAGCACGTACAGCTTAACTTCTTTGTAATTTTACTTACTCTTTTAACTTAATACAATACAATTGAATATATGTGTATTCATTATATCCAATGATTAAATTTTAATTTATTATTAGCATACATTCTCTAAATCATAAGTGTATAATTTTTTTGTTCTTGTAAAATATGAAATTTATTCATATTTGAACACCACAATAATATATATACAATCGTTCATCTAATAGTAGTACACTAACCGATAGAAAATTTTAATAATGTATAAATTAATAATTCTAATAATAGTGAACGATTATAAATAGACTTGGTAAATATAATTTACACTTGATCATTTGATATGAGTATATAATCTGATGCTAATGGTACTGATTGTTTCCGCTGCTATTGTTATAGTTATTACTCTTAAAAGCCGTGCTATTATTTTTCTGAATTTGACTAGTATCATCTGTTGCGTCAATATGCATTGATACTGAACTAAATTCACCTAAAACAATTATAAATAAACAGATTGAAACTTTATCTTCAATTTCGACAACGCTCTTATTGTTTCCAAGAATAGCCTTGTCAACAGTTGATCATCATTGTAAAACGCAAGATTTAAAATATCTCAAAACAAATCTGCATTTCTTGCATTTTTACCCAAATTAAAAAGCAAGAAACGCATAGTATGCTAGAAACAATAGACAGGAAGCGACGTTTTCGAGGCTATTGCGCGTGAAAATGCGAAAGATACTGTCTTTTTTAAGGATCTTAAAGATCCTGAATTTTGATTTTAACAATGGCTTGATTTGGGAAACTGTTGGAAAAATTATTTACTATAATATGAAGAGACATGTGCGTAAAGAACTATGATCTGAATGAGGGCCGATCAATTTCTGCCTTTGAGAAAAAAATAAAGCCTGTCAGCATAGATCTGTTACCTTAGGTATCGGATCACCTCATGAACTGAAGTGTTCTGCGGCGCATCGCTGTCGGAAATTCTTCAACTCGAAGCACAAAATTTTTCTTATTACCCGAAATCGAACCAATATATTCTTTTCCTGGATCAGAACTTGTCAATCTCTGCTGTCTACCTAATCCTCAGACTCCTTCCACTGTATCCTCACACATTTGTAACGGCACACTGCAACGCGTTTGTGTAAAGATTATTTTGTAGTATTTGGGCGTACAACTTCTTTGCATTTATGTTACGTCAGGTAGAAATCTAATATGACTTTACTTTTGGATTGTAACTTATACCACACTTTCACTCTATCTCGTTAGATATTTTGTATAAATGCAGGTATGACCACAGAAGTTTTACATCATTTAGCACGGCAACATAATAATTTGACAGGGGTCGTCTAATGGAATTGGAGACAAGGAAAGAATTTCTTTCAGACGAAGTGCTTAAACAAATCACATGGAAACATTATTTAATCGTTTTTTTTTTCGATAAGGCTCTATTTAAAGAATTCACTTTATTTTCAACTAGTAAACAAAAACAAAGTCTTTAGATCTTTTGACATTGGAAAAATAATTTATCTTTGCCCGCTAAGTACCGACCCCCCCTGTAACTCAAGAACCATGATAGCTAGAGACTTCTAATTTCGTGTGGGCATAGCTCTTATCGAATGCTGATCACGCACCAAGTTTGGACCACTTTTACTAGATAGTTCGTGAGATATAAGCGATTTATCTCTTTTTCGTACAATATCA